CACAACCTTCAAAGCTGTAGGCTTTTGAAGGTTATAAACAGAAGTTTTACTTTTGGGCTAACAACTTGCAACAGTGCTTATTTTCTATTGTCTTTCCTTTTCTACTATGTATTGTCTTCTACTGCCCTTGGGCACCACAAGTCTGTCCCTCACACAAAGATATTCAACAAGCTTAGAAGATCCTCCAAGTTTAGAAAGGTATTTAAAACTCTCAGATTTGTATTCATATTCTTTTCCTGTCACATTGTTAACTTCAGCTCCCACTGATCACTGGCTGAATTGCTTAGGAAGACTGAAAACAACCTCTACTGAGGAGAGAAGGTCATGAATATCTATTCATTTCAAAAGTGCAGTTTCCTAATAAAACCCTGATTCACATTCAGTTTCCATTAAACATGCCAAATTATTGTTGTGGGCATACCCTTAAAAACAAGTATTTGCATTGTCAATTACTGAATAAAGTTTAAATAATAAAGCTTATCATCAAGTGTTTAATCCAAAGGCTAATGACAACATCAGCAAAATGGGGTTTTAGATCGTACCCCAACAGGACAGATTTCAAGTTCACAAAGTATTATTATGAATAACTAGTCTGACCTCCTAAATAGCAGAGATCACAGAGATTACAGAAGTTCACCATGTTTTACCCAGAAGTCCTTAACTTCTGGTTGAGCTGCAGAGTTTTTTTAGGGAAGACATCCAGTCTTGAGTTTACTATGCTTCTGTATTATCTGTTCCATTGATGATGACCCTCATTTCATTCCCTACCTTATTTATAAGTCTGAATTTGTCTAGCTCCCCACATCGGTAATTCTGAACCATTATCTAAAAATGCTGTCCTCCACCCACTTTAATACACAAATTAAATGTTTTAAAAGTCAGCATCAAATTCCCCAGTTACTTCTTAATGAGCTAATCTAAACCTGAAAGCTCACTTTCAGACATGGACTAGACAACTTAGTTTCTAGGCAAGATCTGCAAGTACCATGGAAGGTCTGTAAACAAAACACATTACTACTAAAGCAAGTTGCTTTTTTAAAAACTTGGCTTGCATGAAAAATGAATGCATCAAGTAGGAGCTTTAATTTTTAGTTAAAAGGAAACAGTGAGAAGCACGCTGAACAACTCTGTGGAATGATTCCTGTTGCAAAATTTGTACTGATCTAGGAGCAGAGAAGTGATTACCCAGATTAATCTTAAATCAGGCAGAAGGTAGGGCAGGGTGGCACCTTATGAGCACCTATAAATGAGCATGGAGGCTGCTCCGACACTCTGGGGCACACTGGAGCAGACTTGAGTCCACTGGAGTGTGGATGAGCACTTTAGTTCAAGCACCACCACTGCCATTTTTAAATGCAGGGATCCCGATACAAGAGACAAGGCGGCACTTTAGATAGAGTGGATGTCAGAGCTGCTTTAATTAAAGTACTGCCCCCTGAGCATGTGTAAAAGTGCCTAATCAAGTGCCTAAAAGAGACTGACTGGTTCAGAGAGGCACAAGCTTTCACAGGCAAGAACTTCATCAGCATCTGAAATGGTAGGCTGGTGCCTGTAAAAGTTCATGCCTCCCTGAACCAGTAGTGTCCAGGGTGCTACCATGCCCTCCATTCTGCTAACCTAGGATGAATGACTGGGGTAGCAGGAAATTATGATTTATAACCTACAAATAATTTCAAAGACTTCTCCTTAGCTTTTCTTCCAACAAATCATTCTGTAACAGGAGGGACGTCAGGGTCGCCGTGCTCTCCCCTGCCGCCCACTTTGCCGTGCCAAGCCGTTGGCTCGCACCCTCCTATTCTCACCCGCCACGACTTTGATTGTATATGTTTTTATAGGGAGGCTGCCTTCCTTCTTCTTGGCCACGGTTGTCCGGTTACTTCTAGTTCTTCTATGGTAGTGTGTTTTCCGTACTCCTCAGCCTTATGGGCTATGCGTGGCTCCTACCACCCCAATACCACGCCCCAAGCCTCGCAGATGTAATAGAAGTTGTTAGGTCTCTCTCTTCATGCCCTCTCTAGTGCTCGGGCTCTCCAGTCCCGTCTCTCTTTCTGTGCCCTTCTCTCCAGGGCCTTCTCAATAGTTGCCCCCTTTTCTGAGGCTCACCACGCCTGCACTGGGGCTTCTCAACAACGCCCCCTTCTCTGGGGCTGGGGTTTATGTACTCCGTATGCAGCGCCCTCACTGACGCTGGGGTCCCCACACTATTGTGAGTCCCCTATGAGGCCTCCTCCATCCCCTAATAGCCTCTCCCAAACCACCAGTGTAACAAATAGTAACATAAACACAAGCCACTAGCTATAACTATGCTCAGGCCTACCGGGTTCTCTATCCTACTGCGGTGACCAGCGCTGCTCTGGCATTCAGGCTTAGCTTCTCTTTCCTGGCTGGGAGCTCCTTCTTCCTTAGCTGCTGGTCGGAACTGACTCTAGCCTCCTGCCTGTGCTTTATATAGGAGCCAGGCCCTGTCCCTTTTTTCAGCTGGCCAGGCAGGTGCAGGTCATTATCCCACTAGTTGCCTCTGCAACCAGCACCTGAGGAGTCTTCCCTGCTCTCTCAGTAGCAGACACCTTAGTGCCCTGCTACACATTCTATAGGAGAGAAAATGCACATTTCAATAAAGTGTATTTAAAGTTCACACTCTCCATCTAAATATTGCAAGCAACTGAACTGGCCTTGGATTCCATTAACCTGGGGGAAGATTTTGCAGAACTATGTCCCTCGTTCATCTTCTGCTCCTTACATAGTACTGTTTGATCCACTGGGTGAAGTACTATTTGCTCTCAGATTATCATTACACTCTTAAACCACAACTGCAAAAGACACAATTTAACTGGATTGCAGAGCTTTAAAAAAAAATTAAAAATCCATTGTTAACTGTTCTAGAAATGGCAGCATTCACAGGAGAGCCGCACAGAGTTTAGGTGCGACACTGTTCATGTAATTCTGTCCCCATGAGGAAGAAAGTAAATACAACAGCTGTGAAATGAAAATTGATGCTTAAAATGTCATCAACTCGCAAACAAAATTTGCAGGACCGAATAGAGTGACTAGTAGCAAGCCAACCTATCCCATAGCGAGCTCCTTAAGGAATTGCATTGGACAGTCAAGGTGTACACCTTTCTTGATATAATAAACCTCACTTCCTACAATGGTAATGTTGACACTGCACTAACAACTGGAGGTTTGAACTATGGGGAGGTCATACAAGCGTATAGGAAGTGACAGCCCACGTCTCAAAGTCTGCAGTACAAAACCTTTGTCTGCATTACCAATAATGCTTTAATATGGCCAAATAAGTTGATACTCATGATGTTTCATATCTTGGTCAGGATTTAGAATCTTTTAAACAGAGCAGATTGCCAACAAGCAGCTCAACATCCAAAGAGAGATCCTCCTTAAGAGGGTCATGCTAATCGATATATAACAACAGCATATTATGACAGCAGTCCTATTGTCTTCAGGAAGTAGCACCGTGGACCCATTTTTTTCTTATTACAAGTCCAAGTCCCAACTTAAATGGGAGAAAAAGGTAGCTAACGATTAGCAAGTGCTACCTAATTCATCTAACACAGGAGACTCCAACCTAAAAGGCATTAGCATTTATAAAACATTTAGTGTGTGCAAAGAATGAATATTTGGTATATACAGAACATGAGATGAGTTTTTAGTAAAATCACTGCAGCTATGGAATAACATAGCTTAGCATGGTTCAGGAATAGCTTAGGTGCTTAGGTAAAAGTAACTGCAGTTACTCTAGCAAGTTTTAATACCAATCCTCATGCTTCAGAAAAGGTCCCTTTGCGTCTCCCTGTTACTCTCCCCCATTTTGCCACTTGGTTTAGGACTGATTTTCAACATATTCAGCAGATCATGTTATTCAAAATAGCTACCTGTGACTGGAATTCAAGCTTCTGTTCTTACCCTCTCTTTAGAGCTCATTCATTTTGTCAAGAGTTTTCACAATATGGGACCATCTTGTCCCACTATTTTAAGAATACATCCCAAAGGAGCAACTGCTCAAAAAGAGACAAGATATCTATGACATCCATGTCCATGCTAATTTTCTTTATCCTCCTGGCATTGAAAATACTCAAAGAAAGTCACTATGGCCTCGTTCCTGAGCATTTGTTCCTCGGATATTAGTTTTGCACTTCATGTCTTCTTTCCTCCCCAAAGATTTTCTATTGCAGTTTTGTTAATTGATACCAATAGATACTCACCCTTCATGATGATCTTTTCATGCTAACTTCTTTTATAGTTAGAGCCTAATGTTCATTTATTGTTTAGAAGACAGCTATTCCTGTTATTTAGTCATTTCAGGAAGCGAGACACTTTCCAGACAAGCAATCAGTGATCATTTCAAGTTTGTGTCTCAGAAGCATACAGACTTACATAATCTGCATAATGCAATTCCAATAGCAACTAATTTACCCCTGTGGAAGGCACAATATGAAAAAGAGCTGTTGAAATTATCCTAACTGCTATGCTTTGAAAAGCCCACAGTACCTGGAGACCAAAATGAAACAAAATTACAGAAACTTAAAAATAAAGAAAAACTAAAGAAAAAAAATAAAGAAACTTCTTTATCTCTGAAAAGGAAACCCACCAATAAGACCTACTTTTTCAAGCAAAAGTTTAAAACAGACACCCAGAGTGACCTGGTTTTTTCATAATGTACATGTCAAAGCCCAGAATTCCTAAATCAATGAAGATAGGTGGTTGGTGCTTCAGAAAAAAAAAATCTAGTCTCTTATTTAAGACCCTTAATAGGAACTGGGCATCTAAGTTGAAAATTTCTGCCTCAGGCTCCATGAGGATAAAACCATGGCAGAGTTCCCCTGGTGGCATTAAAAAAAAAAAAAAAAATCAACACCTGTCAGGCAGGTCCCACACAATATGCACCACCCACAATCACACACAACTTTTACAAGGTCAACCACAAGACAAAACAGGCACCTCTGGCAGAAAAGGAAAGACGTTAATGAGAGAATTAATTCCACTTCAAATGATTTATTCACAAGTTGCCACGTTTTGCTAAACATGTATTTTATCCTTGTTAGAGTGTACAAAGAATTTTATACTTTTCTAACAATATCAACTTTAAAAATAGGCTACAGTGGAGGCAAGTCTCACTTTGCATCCAAAATTCTGTAAATAGGAATTCAAAATATCAACAAACATAAAAAAAAAAAAATACCACTATGTACAAAACCAATACAAAATGTACATCTTATCCTTGACTGAAACAATTAAACAACAAACGAAGAAGTTAATCCCTTATTCTCAGCTCCTATTTGGGATCCTGTGACCCTGCATAACTGATGTGAAGTTTGTGTTAAAACATGCAACTCAAAAGGCACTCAAAGGTCACAAGGTCCTGAGCTTAAAGTGGGACATGGATTCCCAATGAACAGTTAAAACAAGTCACAAGTTACAAAAAAAATACTCAAAATATTTAAAAACTGATATTTGGTATACCCAAGAATATTAGGATTCCTTCAAATCCTAGCACAAAATTTCGATTATGTCAACAGAAAGACACAAGAGACAAAGAGCATACCTCGCAGAATTCAGTATATCAAAAGAAGACCTATGAATGACTTGTCTGAAAGTTTCAAAAATTGACCTTCCTGTGGTTACTCTAAAAAAAAACAAAACAAAAAAAAAAAACCCCAACAGAAAATAAAAAAATATTTTCCACAAAGTTAAAAAATGAACTAAGGTCAAGGGGGTGGAGAAGCATATATGGGACACAAAAAAGGTTAAAAAAACAAAACCCAAAAATCAGGTTGGAAAACCTGTATTCAGTTAAATAACAGACGTTAAAGGGCAAAATTTAAACAGGCCTATTTTGCCCTGGTCCAAGGACTAGCATGAATTTAATTTGAATCTTAATATTTACATTGCAGTTATAAAAAAGTACAACCTTGCGGATAGCAAAGAAAACATTATTTTTTACTCAGATATAATGAGTGCTCCAGAATTTTATATCTAAGCTAGTACCATCATTCACACTGACTCACTGTCATCACTTAGGCTCAGATTTTGCCCATAAAAAAGAGTAACAATTCAAATATGGAATGGCTCTTGTCTGAGATGCAGAACAGAAAATACAAGCAAACAAACTTATCGTATAACTAGTTTTGGCCTATATGGTTTCAGATCTTCCTTCAGATATGCATAGGAATATACTGAGGCTAAGAGTAGCCATGTATATTTGCTACAGTATAAGGCCTTTTATTTGCCATAGCTTTGTGCGTCAGCAGGGCATTTAAATTAAAGCAGGCATACAGAGTTATCAAAGTGCTACTGTTTCACTGAACAGATCTCAGGTTTCAGAATTATCAAGTGGTCCCTCATTCTCTGTCTTCTTCTCTGGCGATGTGTATAAGAAGTTACAGCAGATAAAGAGAGGAAAAATCAGAAGTCTGCTGTCCAAGTTCATTACTACTTGTTCCTGCAAAGCAAATATAAAGGAAAGTTTTCAGTTAAGTTTAGAACAATAAGCATTAAGTCTAAAAGGTGATATACTAAATATGTGCAACTCTCTATACAAGTACGGGAATAGCCTCCAGTAAAATTATGACAGGCTGTGAAATCCATCTAAGACTAAGTTACCCACAGAAAAAATAACACCTGGAAATCTTCACTGAACAGCCACTGAATAAAGTCAAATAGAGAAAACAAGAGCCAATCTAAAGTGACATAACCCCAGCCTTTCCTTCGGAACCACCCTAAATTGATCATTTTTAACGCCATTAATTTGGGCAAAGCATTTTCTAAGGACATTTTACATGTGCTCTGGGACGTGGCACTGGGTGCTTTAATTAGTGAGCTGCGCTAATTAAAAGCCCCCACGCATCACGTGCATCAGCGTCCCCGTGCTGAAAAATGGTGGCAGGACGCTTTGAACTAAAGCTCATTGAACATGTTTCAGTTCAAAGCGCCCCACTCGCTGCCATTTTTTCAGCGCGGCATGCTGATACACATGACGCGGAAGGCTGCCAGAGCACGTCAATTTCTGTGCTCCAGCAGACTCGATTAATCGAGTCTGCTTCAACGTGCTGGTTTTCCAGTGCGTCAGAGCAGGCTCCCTCCATGCCTGCAGGAACTCTATTAGGCCAAAATACCATCCCTTTATCTCTCCCATGTGCCCACGGTCAGGGTCTCTTGGTACTGGGGTGGCTGAGTCATCTCTACCAGCCAAGTATAAAGTGAAAGGTAGAAGGCTCTACAAGGTATTTCTAGCTATTGAATAGGTGTATTGGGTTGGGTCTCTATCTTGGAGGGGCTATTCTTTTTGGCAATTTAAGCAGTTGGCATACTTAACATTGGGAAAAAACCTGGGCAAAACTGGAAATGCATCCCTCAGGAAGCTATGACTGTAAGAGAACAAAACCTCTGTGCACCTAACTCACCAAGTATCAGTACCTTAATTTCCCAGTTGTAAGATATCATTACATATAAAAGTACATTCCCTCAACTAAACACTACTGACACAACAAAGAAAGAAGTCTCAGGAACATGTAACCCTGAAGTAATGAATTCAACATGTCTGCATGGTAGCCTGTCAATAGAACCAGTCGATGCCATACTGGTCTTGTCAGTCATCTTCAGACCCACAGATAAGGAAGGTCATCAAGCAGAAAGACAATCATCCTCGACTGTGGCAGACTGCCGATGACGATGCACGGTAACTATGCCCCAAACCTCCATAATACTTATTTTATGCCGAGGTTATCAAGGCACACCCCCCTATCCACATCTTTCAAATTCATTTTGAATTTGTCCTTTAGGCACCTCAGAGACTGATGGATCTCAGATGCCAAGTAATTTCCTGGGACATGATTAAGATACAAGATTCTCATACAGTTGCTATTTATTAAGCAATCTGATATTGTAATTGAAAGACTGGCACGGACATATTTCAGTCAGAGGCAAATGTTTACCTATGACAAGCTGTGGAAATAAGCCCTCTGCCAATCATTTCTTAAACCTGGTTCACCTGTCCCTAGCATTACAACTTTTGGGGAAACTTTCATTCTTAAAGATATTAAGACAACAGTGCACGTGCCAGCAGGACCCCGCTGTATTCCAGAACTTGTATAATCTGACTAGTTTAACTACAGTCAGGTATAATGCCCATTTAAGTACCCTGCTTTAGTTTTCCCTTCTGAGTCAGTCTTATTAACTTCAGCTTCCTATTGTGAACGCATTCTTAAAATTCTACGCACCTACAACTTTTTCTTTTTTAAAAGGGGATTTTTTTCTTTTCACTTGCTTGCTGCTGTCATATCTAAACCTCCCAATTACCAGTTGCAAAACCTGAACATACCTGATCTTTCTCCAGAGTTAGGATCTGATATCCTGTGGTTCTACTGCAAATGAGTTTCCCACTGCTATCAAAAGAGGCTAGACGTAACCTAGGGATATAATGCAAGTTAAATGACTAGATGCAGCCTCCTGTAACTTATTTTCAGGGTAATGGAAGAAGCCAGCTTCTCAGAGGGAGACGAACATCTCCATACAGCATATTTTCTGGTTACAAAACCACTGTTGTTCACCAGTTAAAATGGGAAATCAGTTGAGATGGTGGTTTTAAATCTAAAAATTGTGAGTACTGAATTCTTAGTCACTCCTCACCTGAATGCTATGTTTCTCCGGGGCTGCAAACTGACCGACCCACTGCACGGCTGATTCAGTGTGTTCCGTTTGAATATGATATAGCGGTTTGTATAGGTAACAAGCAGGTCAAAGCCAAAGTTGAATCCAGTCCATCGCCAGCAGTACTAGAGGACACAGGAAAAAGAGAAGGCAGCTTAATTACTTGTACTCTTATGTCAGCTACAATCAATATGAGAATTACACCTATATAGCAACCTGCAGGATCCTGAAGTACTTCAGAACCTTACATATAGGCCAAGGTCCCTAACATGCAGTAGTCCTGCATTTACCTCTGCATGGAAACCACTGAATTAAACAGACTGATCATGGATGCAGGGATCAACTTGCAGCCAGTGGCAGGAGAGGGGATTTTGAAGGGTGGGAGTAAGTACCTTTTTAACAGCACACAACATAACAGCTCAAGAGCTGCCATTTACTGGATCAGACCATAGATGCATCATGTCCAGTTCCCTGTCTGACAGTGGCAGAGACTGAATACTGAAAGGGAGAGTGAACAGGGTACGACAAGGATGTTTTCCACTGTTCTTCTCCCACTTGCAGCCTCCAGCATTTGAGGTCTATGGAGTTCTGATTCAGAAGCTGTACCCCTAAACTCCCATGCTCAATAACAGCTGAACTACACAACAGTATTCAAATACCTCAGAGGCTGCCATGGTTTCCCTGCTTTACCTGTGGCAGGTTAGAGTGTTATGTCTTGTGCTGTATCAGGGTTGACAGTAGTTTTACAAAGAGCTTAGATTATGGATTTGTTTAGGATGGTTTGGATGGGAATGGTCCTGCCTCAGGAAGGGGGTTGGAACTGGATGACCTCTGGGGGTCCCTTCCAGCCCCACTTCTCTAGGATTCTACGATCTATGAGCACTGCCACATCCACTTGAAACTCCAGAGTAATACAGCAGACAACTCCCCAACCTGGAATTCAAATCAGGACATCAGTTTTCACAGCCACTTCACTCTTGCATAGAGCCATGGAGTATTAACTATCAGGACTCCAATTTTATACCACTGGTCGAGGAAAGGTGTTATACTTTACTAACATATCCAAGGAGCACAATTCCAGAGTGCCACCGGCTACATAAATCCATACAATTAATTTCAGGCACATTCTCAGGTCAAGTGAGCTCAGCATTCAGTATGGAAACAATTGCATCAACATTTTTAATGCTTTTCTGCCAGGCCTGCTATGTAAGGATATACACAGTATGTTACATATATTAAGCATTCATCCAAGAGGCTAAATATCAAACTGTGATAAAATACTAAGTGTTGACAAACAATTTTGTTGTATAAGGTGGGCTTCCCATCTTTAATATGGGAACCACTTCCATAAAAACATGCTCACTTTCTGGATACAAGTTTGTTCCTCAATGATAGCCAGCTCTGCAAAACAGATGCGTTATGGACTAGAGTGACTATGCATCTAGGTGGTATTTTTATACTCGCCTCTTTGAAAAATTAAGTTTTAACAAAACCAAAACTTCAGTTAATTTTCAAAAGTGATAGATAAACCTGTGCCTCTCAACTAAGTTTCAAATTACTACTGCAAACCTCATTCTTTTCTTTATATGCTCCACATTTAGACTTCATTTTATGGCAAGAGCACAATGATTTTAATGGCATTTGAGAAAGTAAGAAATGCCATTTTCCCTGTGAAAGCATCGTTTTCATTATCATTTTTCTTTTTGACGCCACTTTTGAAAAAGCCAGTGAAAGCTTGGTGTTTGAAATGTGTAATACATTTAAGTAAGCTTAACTTAACACACTAAGGCGGAATTTATACTTACATCACCATCCTTTGCAAGCTTTCTACCACACCTCATGCTGTTTCCTTCAAGTTCTTCTTTATTGATTTCCTGAGGGCTATGAACAAGAAAGATTTGACAATGAATTATTTGTAAGAAGTAAATAAATTTGCAAGGAAAGCCTTTATGGCATTCTAATCTAAATCATCTCCCAGATCACAGCACACATTCTGATGGATTAAATACATCTTTTACAAAAGCTGTAGGAGGCTGGGGTGATGCATGATTGACAGCCCAGAGGTCACAAGTTTGAGGACCTAGTTGAAGTGCTCACAGCACAGCCCTGTCAGATTCCAATGAATTTGTGAATTCTGCTAAATACCTTGTCACAAGGACACAAAAAAGGAAAGGAAAGGACAAAAGCTATACCATTTAGTTCAGTTTTTCCACCCCTCTTATCACTTACCCTAACCCTGTGCTGTTTTGCTTCTGAACTGAAACCATAAGCAAGACAAAAGCTATGCAAACGTCAAAGAGAAGATCACCTTCTACAGCTAAGAAAAAGGGCAGACACTGAATTTGGATTCTATCTAGCTTGAGACATTTCACCTCAACTATATAAAAGGTTATTACTACCAATTTTAATAAAATACGTGTTCATTTGTACAGTGGAAAGAATCTGTTGCAACTAGGCTGCCTGATGCCAATCAGTCAGTCATTTGTTATATGATCCAAATACCACCTCCAAGTTGCAACTGTGATCTTGTTGGGGAACATGCCTGTAGAAAATCTACCCTGTGATCTGTTTATCCTCCTAGTACAGACAGATTGAAAGACTGCAACAAAATTAACCTGCAAAGCAACACACACAAAAAATCATCTAATAGAATGTTCATTTTGGCAGTCATTGGACTTTCGAAACTATAACAGAAAAAATAAATCACTGTTGCCGTTAGAGAAATGACTGCATCTTTGTGGAAAACCAGTGTTATGAAGGTACACTTCAATGGGGAATGATTTATACAATTTCACAAATACATGGCAGATTAAGTAAACTTTCTACACAAGTTATACTGCTTTAAAGGTCCAAGTAGTACAATCCCCTTAAGGCTGATGCAGCTTTGCCAACATAAAACTACTTTATACTCACATAGCTATTCTCATCTGACACAGGAAATATCACTAAGTTATACTGATACAAAAACTGTGCAGACCAGGCACCAAAGTCCTCAAAAGTCATATTGTGGTCTGCAGGGCTGTAGGTTGTAGCTGTGTTGGTCTAAGGACATAGGCAGACAAGGTTCCTTGGGTGAATCTGATATCTTTTATTAGACCTTCCTGGATGGAATGAAAAGTAAAGAAGACAGGGGCTGGGCTGGGCTGGGGAGTCAGTTGTCAGGCAGGTTATAATGTGTCAGAAATCCAATGTCTATATTTAGTCTATGATATGAGGAAATATCAGGTTTCGTTGAATCAATCCTAAAACCGCTCGTCACCCACAGAGCAAGTTTTGTATAAGACACTACAGACTTTCTACAGAAACTTAAAAACATAGACCACCTTCCCAGCAACACACTCCTGCAACACCCTCCTAGCCACCATGGACGTCATCAGCCTATATACCAACATCCCACGCCAGAATGGCATCCAAGCCTGCCTTACATATCTACAGGAACAAGATTACAACTCAGAATACAGACCCAAAGATATGACTGACCTTATACACTTCATCCTCACACAGCAATTTCACTTTTAATAATCAACACCTCCTCCAGATGATGGGAACAGCTATGGGCACTAAAATGGCCCCACAGTATGCCAACCTTTTTATGAGCCACCTGGAAGAAGACTTCCTCAAGAACTGCCCCATCAAACCCTTGCTATACTTAAGATATACTGATGATGACATCATCATTTGGACTGAGAGCCTACAATCTCTGATTGAGTTCCATCGGAAGTTCAACTATCACCATCCCTCCATCCAACCGATGTGTACCGCCCACAGCACTTGCTGAGGCCTGTTCCAGGCTGCACCTCCAGTGGCTCCCACTCAAGCTGGATCCTAGGCTGTGCTACCTTTGGCTCCATCCTGAGCCAGTCCCAGGCTATACTGCAGTGGTGCTTGCTCAGGCTGACATCCTGGATTGGCCTGGGTGGGTGCTACCTCTGCTGGATCAAGCACATGGGTGTGGTCTGTGGCCTGCAAGGCCAGATGTTACACTGAGCTATGAGCTAGTTAATTTATCTAGGATTCACAGTATGACAAATGCTAAAGGTACTAGAAGTTTGAAAGAGCTACCGAGATACCACGTGAAGAACTGCTGCAGTACCACTCCTCCTAGCCTTCAAACAAGCGCCGAACCTCGCCAACCTCATCACCAGAAGCAAACTTCCTCAAGCCCAGAACACACCAAAAGGATCCAGACTGTGCCAGGACAAGAAATGCAAAACCTGCCAACACATCTCCACCCCCCCCCCACTATTCCTACACCCCACAACAGAGCCATCAGCATCCCAGGATCTTACAGCTGCACCTCCAGAAATGTAGTATATCTCGTCCAATGCACCAAATGCCCTGATGGAAGATATGTAGGAGAGGCCAGACAACAACTGCGCACCAGAATGAACGCACACCGGAAATCTATCAAAGACAGAAATACCCAATTACCGGTGGGGGCACATTTCTCACAAGGAAACCACTCTCTGGCCAATCTCTCAGTCTTGATCCTCAAAGGAAACTTACACAACACTTCCCAGAGATGAGCGTATGAACTCCACTTCAACCACCTCCTGGATACTAAAAATCATGGACTAAACATATAGACATTGGATTTCTGACACTTATAATCTGCCTGGCAACTGACTCCCCAGTCCAGCCCCTGGCTTCTTTACTTTTCATTCCATCCAGGAAGAGCACACACCAACTGCTGACCCTTCCTTAGCCTGACAAAGGGTTTTTGAACCCGAAAGCTTGCTTAATAACTATTCCTCCAACTATTTGGGTTGGTCTAATAAAAGATATCAGATTCACCCAAGGAACCTTGTCTGCCTATATTGTGGTTTGACTTTTAAAGAAGCATAAAGCAGTTAAACCAGATAGGGAAATGCTTCATCTAATAATATCTGCAAGAAACTTTACTAATAAATACTTAAAATTGAAAATATAAATAGCTATAAAGAAACAAATATTACATTACAAATAAAAACTCCCCCAACAAATTAAATCTGTAATCTACCAATTTAAGTGAGATGACACAGTTTGTAAATCCTGAATAGTTAATGAAACACACAAATTGGGAATGCTAAAAACGCCTTTTCTAATGGCCAAAGGTGTGTATATTTAAGTACTCCATGTAGCCTAACAGAATAAGTCTTATAACAGCCAAGATAGTACCAGACTCCATCTTTGCTAATGACCTATTTGATAACTGAGCAACTTTGCAAAGAACAGTGAATGAAATGTTCAAGTCCCTTTAATCACTGGCAGGACTGCCTTAAAATAAAGGGACGGTGCTAAATGTCATAGGCAGTTTTATTGCAAAAAATCATTTAATTCTCTTTGCACCCATTACACTGTACACCATGTGAAAAGACCATCAACCCCACTACTTAATACTGCTGTGCAGAAAACAAACCAAACCATTTTCCCATTCTGTTCAGACTAGTTTCTAGTTTTGGTGAACTCTATGGGAAACTCAAGTACTTCAACTGCTGCACTTCAAAGACAATAGAAAAATCAGGGGAATAAGGAAGGAGGAGTTGAGGATAAAATAGCCACCATGGACAAAATCAGGAAAGGAATAAGTTTTCTCCAAGTAGAAAATGCTAACGTTACGATTCTTAAGCTATAAGTAAACAAACAAACAAAGCTTCAGGACTGCATTATCCCAGCCTTGCGCCTGCCCTGCCTCCTCCCCCACCAGCAATAAAATACTGTTAATTATAGGCAAGTTGAACAGAGTACAACAAAAAGCCAGGTATGCTCCTGTCTGGCTCTACTGATGCAACAAAACTGAGGTTCATGGGGTACCTATATATGAAGTTCATATATAAATAGCTCTTTAAGTAACAACTAACTATTATCTCTAAGTAACAACTAACTCCCCACAAAACATTCAAATACTGTGCAGGCCATAAAGAAAGTAGCTTTCTATCCCCATTCTGCCTCAGTTTCCACATTAAGAAATCAAGGGATCTGCTTTCAAGTTAGTTCAGGGGCAGGCAATTATTTTTGCCCACAGGTCACACAGGCAGTTCTGGGGAGCTGCCGTGGGCCGGTCAGCACCCTACCCCACCACAACAGCCCCAAGCCCACACGCCACTGCCAATAGCACCCAGCTCCGCCCCACCTTTTTAGGCAGCCCAGGTGGCAGCAGCTTCTTCTGGCTGCCACTGCTGCTGGCTCCAGCCCCGTGGTACTGGCAGGGACCTGCATGCACAGCCTCAACCCCACCCTGCCCACATCTGCTCCGGACTCGGCCTGGTGCAACAGGCTAGCTGCAACCCGCACAGACAGCCCTGCCCCGCGCCTGCTCCACACTCACCTACCCAAGCTAAGCAGCGGCAGCAGCCAGGCAGAAACTGCTGCTCAGCATGGGGAAAAAGCACCTCCTCCCTCTTGCTGCTGCCAGGATGCTTCTTGCTGCTGCCGCCTGGGCTGCCCTGCCACTTCTCTCTGCTCTGTCACCACCACCTCCAGGCCACCCAGTGGGGCAGCTGTGTAGAGGAGCAGCATGACAGCCGGGGCACAGACTCCAGACAGCTGTAGCAAGAAGGGCCTGGCAGTGGTGAGGGGGAGAGGCTGCTTTTCCCCACCCCCCCATACTGAGCAGTAGCTTCTACCAGGCCGCTGCCACCACTGCTGCTGCTGCTGAGCTTGGGCAGGCGGACCAGAGCAGGCACAGGGCAGGCTGGGTCGGGTCAGGGCTGTGCATGCGGGTTCTGGCTGATCCACAGCTAGTCTGCTCTGCCCGGCTGAATCTGGAACAGGTGTGAAGCAGGCCAGGATCAGGGCTGTGCATGCAGGTCCCTACCAGTACCACAGGGCTGGGGCCAGCAGCAGTCAGAAGGAGCTGCTGCTGCCTGAGCTGCCTAGAAAGGCAGTTCAGCTGCAGAGCCGCCCCAGCCCCACTGTGCGCCTAGAAAGCAGCATGACACGTCGTCACGTGACAGACACTGCATAGGCCAGGCAGGACCAAAGGGCCCGCCATGGCTGGACAAAGGGCCGTATTTTGCCCACCCCCAAGCTAGTCAGTGTGGAAAAGGAACAGAAGGCACTTCAAGTGCCAGCTCTGCGATCAAGCACCAGACTCAGTACATTAATTTGCTGAATATGCTCTCATACTTTAAAGATTATTCAAATGACAACTGTAAAATTATAACTAATGAATGTTAATTTAAGCTTCTATTCGTTAATATCACAAGTCAATTACCCTCATAAAAGAACAGCAATATCAAAGATGGCACTTCGGTCAGCGTTTCCTCTGATATAGTTTCATAGTAGCTAGGGTTAGGAGGGACCTGAACAGATCATCTAGCCTGACCCCCTGCCACAGGCAGGAATGAATGCTGGGTTCACAAGACCCCAGACAGGTGATCATCTAACCTCTTTTTTAATTTACCCAAGGTAGGGGCGAGGACCACTTCTCTGGGAAGTTGGTTCCAGATTTTGGCCACCCTAACTGTAAAATACTGCCTTCTCATCTCTAACCTAAACCTATTCTCCATCAGCTTATTACTCCATCAGCTCAGTTCCTTGTCACCCCAGATGGTGCTGGGGAGAAAAGGGCTCTGCTTATTTGCTGTTGATCTCCCCTGATGAGCTTGTAGGCAGCCACCAGGTCCCCCCTCAGCCTCCTCTTGCTGAGGCTGAACAGGTTCAGGTCCCTCAGTCTCTCCTCGTAGGGCCTGTCCTGCTGCCCTCTCATCAAGCGGGTGGCCCTCCTCTGAACCCTCTCCAGGCTGGCCACATCCTTTTTAAAGTCCAGTGCTGTACTTCATATTTCCCAAACGAAGTACAGCTACCTGTCACAGAAAAAGATACAGTGGGAGCAAAACCGCGTTATATGGTGGTGTTGTCACACAATAAGTAAGTTAAGAGCCGATTCAGAACAGAGAATAGTTTTGGCCTCTATACTATGCTTCACTAGTCCCTACTGTATCACTACTAACTTGAACAACATCATTTATTTTGAGGAAAAAAGTGAAAAAGATACAAAGGAAAAACTCCAGTCGTGTGAAAGCTGAATGAGAAACAACTTATATTTGAGGTTGAGTGCACTATCCCACCAATATTTACTTAATTAAAATGACTGGGGTTCCTGCCTCCCCCTGACCCCTGCCACGTTCTTCTCTCATTTGCAGCTTACAGCATTTAAGATCTAGGAAATTTGATCCAGAGGTTATATCCCCAACTGCCATGCTCAATAACTCCCTTCCCCCTCCAAGAACTTTTCCAATTTTCCTGCTTATTAACACACTTTAACCCACCTTCAAAATGGAAGGCTGATGTGAATAAGTTACTATTCAGACCTTCACATACATCACAAAGGAATGTTGCTGGTGACAAACATTGATGTATATGACAAAAACCACACAGAAAATAGTATTTGCCTCTAATCGTGATGCAGAAAAAGTAACAGGTCCTTGATTGCTTTGTTTTGAAAAAATAAATAAATAAATAAAAATTAAAAAAAAAGGGGGAAATCAACTAAGGCTTGAGCAAAAGTGATTGTGAACAGATGCAAACCCTGAGTGCAAAATATTTAATAAAATAATCCATTTCTGCTTATTTCTCATTTTGCTGTAAGTTCTAATGTTATGCCAGAGAAAGGTGTATACCAGAGAAAGGTTTTACTTCAAGTTAGAAAAAAAAGAAACCCTGTAATATACCTACCCAATATCATTGTCTTGTTCTGCTCTGAGCATGGCAAACCACTGCTGTTTGTAAACAGAGGACAGCCATTCTAAAATTAAAAATATATATATATGTATAAATGGACATGGGGTATTCTTGGGGAGGTGGCAGAAAAGAGATAATCAAAACATTTAAAACATTTAAAATAAAGAAATTAAATTATAAAGAGTTGAATAAATTTTACAGTATATAAATAGCCAAGTCACACCCTGTCAGTTAACATTTCACTTGTATTCTCTCCCTGTAACACTAATCAGAACTATATGATGCTGCAAGCATCAATAAAATGACCATGGCTGAAACTTAAAATTATATTGGTCTGTTCTATCAAGCCAACACTATTCCCACCAAAATACCTATGCGACTAAATAAAGTATTTTATCTGTTTACCAAGATCAGTTAAATTGGTAGACCACTAATAAGGTACATTACAAAGCAGATATTCAATATCTTATGTCTAGGTAGCATCCCTTAAATAAACACATCATGATTTAAGCTTAGAGGCATTATTTAAAGAGATGGTACCTAAGCCTCACGGTGTCAAATAAGGTATGGAAATGCAAACAATGAAAACATTAAGTGAGGTGTAAAAAAGCCACAAAGATGAAAATATGGCAAGAGTCAAAGTAAAGGGAAGGCTGTAAACACTGGGGACATGAGAGAGGCTAACACATTATGGGATGGATTATTTTTTTAGCTTAATAAGAAAGTTCAACGGCTACAATAACGTTAGCAGTAAAAACAGGGAAGTTCCAAGGTAAAAACAGAGAATCTATGGCCCAATGGCATACAAGAAGAAAAGATCCATGCAGAGAAGCAAAGTGGGGCAAATTTACTGTTCTGAAGATAGGAGAGAGGAAAATAAGCAAGCAGATGAGGACAGGTGCAAGGTACAAAACATCTACTGAGAGTTGGAGGGATATTTAATAGGTTATAAACAGGAGACCAGTACAGTTAGCAAAAAGGAAGGAATGGCATGCACACTCAGGTCCTAAATCATTTCTGTGCATGAAACGCGAGGAACCACTCCTGACTGCATTAACTGCAATGACAAAACTCAGACTGGACTTCAAGTATCCAAAATACTCAATAGAAAGTGAACGCTATAAAAGGTGTTTCAAGAAAACCAGAATTAGAACTCCAGACACGTTCTGAAGAATAAGGAGGGAAGTTTGGAGTCCAAAGTACTATGGTTTTTATACTATTTTTCACTTGCAAATTCTAACTGCATCTCACCTGTTTACTTAGTTGTACGAACATTACCAGGGAAGTTTCTAAAATAAAAACAATTTTTATTCTGGGACTGTTCAACTATAGTAAAACAAGACGAAGTTTTATTTAAACAAAAGTGAGATTTCACTCTGAAATAAGAATGACAAATACCACTGGATTTCACTCCTAAACTTCTTGTCTAAATGCAGAAAGCCTCACCACAGTATCTATCATCTGCTCCACAACAGGTTATTCTCATTATTCATAAAAATTTAACTTGGGACAATGTAAACCATTTCTACTAAAACTTAATATAGTTTCTGAAACTACAGAAGTTTTCAAGTATCAAAAAAGTGTGTTGCGGACATCCAATTACCAGAGTAAACTACTCAAAAACAAACTACCTGCATTCAACATAAATCCATTAAAAAAAAACCCCCAGAAAAAAAAGAGTCATTCCCAGATTGTTCAGTAAATGAATATTACCAGTTCACAAAAAGTATCAAGCATTAAAATCCAATTGTATAAGTTCACTCAGCATTAAGGTAACCATGCTACAAGCCTATTACTTTTAAGAAGCATTCTTGACACATTTGCCTACATGAAACATTTGCCACCCAAAGCATGTTTTTAACAAAAGTCTGAATGCTTTATGTTCAGATCTGGTCTCCTGTAATATGGAACCCACTTTAAAAAAAAGTCACCACAAGCCAGTTCTTTTCCTACGTGCAATCCTGCCACAGTCAAATGTTAACTTAAACAAGTGTCGGCTTCAGCTCAGGAAGTGCTCAGTCAAGTCATGGGAGAGAATGCTAGAAATTGTGCTGTCCATTTGAAAACACTGCATGACAAGTTGTCAGAAGAAGCAATTTGCCAATCATCTCTTTTCCTGGACTGGAGAAAGGAACCCAGAAAAATTCTCCTTGACGCATGCTTTTCCCTTCTCTGTTGTGTCAGAAGACAACAATACAGGATCTGACAACAAAGCAAGTCACCCCGAATGCTAAGTTCATCTTGAATGACTTAAGAAAACAGATCCTTCTTTTAGCACAACAGATGCACAGAAATGGCTTCCATTTCTGTGCTCAGGCTTTTCCTTTTTCAAGATGGACAAGAAAAGCAACAACAACAACAAATGAAAATGAGTGCACTGTTAACAGATTTTTTGGGCCGATACTGATAGTCAATTTTTAAGGAGGCATATCGGCCAATACCAATCCGATTTCCGATACAGCTGCATGCAGCTGGTAAGTCTGTTGTGGTGGAAAGGGATAGGGGAGGGAAGGGGCATGGGGCAAGCACTGCCCATCCGAGGCACAGGATGGAGCCACGGCTCGTTTGGAGGGGAGGGCGTATATCCCCAGGTCTGCGAAGGGCTAGGTGGGTAGGCTGCAGCTAGGGCTGTGCCAGGCTCTTTTTGGCCAACGCTGGGCTCGGGTCAGGGGCTATGGAGGGGGATGCAGCCACCCCAAATTTCGCCATAGTCCCATTCCCAGCACTGCTGAGCTCCCAGCACAGGCCTAGCTCAACACTCCACCTCCACCCATATACTCGGATGTGCTGGGTGTGCAGCAGTGGGGCTATGGTGAAATTTGTAGTGGCTGCAGCCCCCTGTCCAAGGCCAGCCCCTGCTGAGAAGAGCCCAGCACAGCCCCGGCTCCAGCCTGCAGCTGCATCTCGCCTGCCCTGCCCAGATCCAAGGGCACATGCTGTGGCTTCATCCCATACCCTACCCCACCTGGGCAGCGTGCCTGCCCCTGCCCCCTCCTTCACCACAGGAGGCAATGATCTGCTCTCCCCCCCCCATGCCCCTCCATCACAACGGACTTACCAGCTGCACACAGCTCTGCTCCCTCACTGCCTGAGTGCTGTGCTGAGGCGGCATGCACACACAAGCATTTATCAGCCAAATCGGGCCAATTTCCAATACAGCTAATTTTCTTTATATCGGTACCGATCCGATATTGGATCAATGTATTTGTGCACCTCTTAAAAAAAAATTACATAATTACAGATCTCTTGTGTTACAAGAGATAAGAAATATTAGTGTGAGTTGGTAATGTCCAAGACTGAATTCCACCATATCTTTTGCTGGCATGTTCTTCAAGTATTTATGACAGTTGTTCTTCTTAGACCAAAACTGGTAAACTCTCTTCTAGCAGCTCAGCTTTTAATTAAATCTACTGCAGTTCATTTGGCATTTACCCCTCAAAAAATCCTCAAGTTGTTATAAATTCAGGGATCAAAACCAGATAATAACTTAATTTTAATCCTTTTCACATCATACATCAATATGGACTTGGAAAATTAAAAGAGCGCATCCTAAGATTCACAAATAATAATAAAAAAAATTAAGATTAAGCCTAAGGTTAGCAAAAGTTAAATGTGCAGCAGCTCTATTATGCAAAAAGTAACTGAGGAACTATATTGGCTTGGACAAATCGGCAAGTAAGAAGTGACCAGATTAATGACAAATAAAAGTTTATCAGCAAAGGTCAAAAAATACCTACTCCAGATGACGGGCACAAAAACTGACTGGGACTGCTCGGATAGAATCAGCTCATAAATCAAGGCCCAATTTCACAGTAATCCTTCATTTACTGTTACCATCTACTGCCTCTAAGTCTGTCAAGATAACTGGAGTCTCTATATTCTTCTGCATTAGCTTTGGCAAAACAATGAAGGGAGTCATTAGTGGAAGCTTTAAATTCCAAGAACAAACCAAAGTTCATGAAAACTTACCCTGACATAAGAAGGTAGCACAACACTTAAGGAAAAGGGTCAAGGTGACAACTTTCCTGTTTATTAACAGGAATGGGGTTTGGGGAGGATAGTCTATCCCCAATACCTAAAATACAACTGTAAGCAGGGGCAGCCTTTTAAAAAAAACTGTTACAGCAGAAGTAAGTTTTCAGGAAGGATTTCCTGAGAATGAACAGAGAAGCAGCTGAGAACTGTTTGGTGTGAAAGCTGGGAATCAGAGGGAGAGACAGTTGTACAGGCCCTAAAAGCACTGAGCAACCAGATAGGATGAGTCGATACCAAAAAACGGATGAGATAAATAGCAAAATACATGTACAGGGCCACAAAAAGAAAGATGAACCTGGTGCAATCTAGACAATGAAGACAGTGTTCAAGAACAGGAGCAAGGGATTTGATAAAACTGACAGGCTACAAAGATCATCTCAGCAATTTCACTTTATATGCTGTGAGTGGGGCTGAGCATGGAAGCTGGAGGGAGAAAAACACCACAGGAAATGAGAACATGAATGAAAGAGATTTAGCTGTTGAGGGAGACGACAGGCCCTGAAGACACAGCAAAAAGAAAAACAGCAAGATTTGGGTATAGCAGAAAGAGATGGGCAAGAGAAAAGGGCAGGAAATAAGGATAACACATTAATGTGCCTTTCATCCTTCTTATAAGGAGAAGGCTGAACAACTTGATAGCCTGGGAGTCAAACCAGAGCAGTTTGGCTTTGGTCATGCTAATTAACTTGACTGGCAACATCCAGGAAAGGGTATCACAGAAAGGCAGAAATGCAGAACTGGACAGAGATAAGGAATGGATGTACAGGTGGATTAACCTATCATGACTCCAATGTTAAATGATGCTGTGCAAGTGATGAATGAGTATAATGTTAAGAAACAACACAGAAGTCAAGGAGGATGAAGAAGATAGCCCTTAGAGTAGGCCAGGACAAGGTTATCAGAAAAGTTAGCAAACAGAGTTTAACTTGAGCAAAGGCAAAAGAAACACATTCAAGCAGACCCAAGGTGGAGCTGAAGGAAAGGAAATCAAGGCAAGTATTATATAACTGGCAGAAACAGGCAAAAACCATTCCTTTTGAGCTGAAAGGAAGACATGAAATGGAAGTTATTAGGCAGGTGCTTCACAAACAGGAAGACTTAAGTGCCTGGGACAGATCACATTCCCCTGAAACAAGAAATCATTTACCTGTTTGCCTGGCAGTGGCTCAACCGAGTGTACTGTATTACAGCAAGAAGCTAAAGCCACCTGCTTACCTCAAGAATATGCCAAAAGGATGAGCACGAAGAAGGGTATTGTAATTAATTCTAAATCTGGGTTGAATTTAACAAGCATTAATTATGTATTTTCTTAATTTTTATACAGGTATATTAAAAAAAAAAAAAAAAGAACAGAAATGAAGTAACTAAGCAGCAGCCAGATAACTGTTGCCATGATAAGAATACCGGAAGGGCTTTGTTCTCACCAGACTGCTATCTGTTGGAAAACTAGCACATGCCTTTTGAGATGCTAGAAAAGGTCACAAGATTTTGTACAATTTTTTTTTTCCTTTTTAGAAAAGCTTTTATGACATTTTTCACTTTTCAGATGCTTTTCTACCACCAAAACCAGCTTAGTGGAAAGAAAAATAAATAAATAAATGAATCAGGGAAGGTTTCCTTTTTTTGAAAATAAATAAAATATTACATCATTACTATTATTCAAGTGCATAGATCCACAAGGCAGTTTATAACCCTGTTTACAGAACAAGTGAGCTAAATATATGGGAAAATGATGGTCAAGTGGACACTTTTAGTATTAGATGTATGCATACCTAATGTTAAGCTCTTTCTGAACCTTGCTGCAAAATAAATTTCGGCTAATTTCTTTAATAAAACTGAAGAACAAAACTGAACAAGGAGGACACATAAGCTTAACAGTTTCATTCATAATTACTCTACATTAGAATCAAAAGAAGATACAGAAAGGTGCCCGACAACATTTTTCTTACCTGAAGGTATCAGAGCATCTCTCTCAACAATCCTTGCTGATGCCAAATCACTGATGATGTACTGCAATCTCAAATGTTTGAACACAGGCAAAAATATGCTGCCTTGTTCAGATTCTAGAAATGCAAGGTCACCCCCAAAATCTGAAATTGTTATAATACAAGTCAACCATTAGGGCTTTGCTAGAAGCTGTTCATTTTTTATAGTCTCCTAAAACATATACCAAAACTGGCAAACCTAAGCTTGTGTGTACTGCTCAATTAATGCAATTACAGAAAGGCAATATTCCATTTTGCAAGCAGTTAATCTTCAAGTTAACAGATTTCTAGCTTTTTTGCAAAGGTTATGGGCATTCAAATTGTAGAAGCAAATCTATTAGATCAAACTTTTTATCTTCTTAAGCACAAAGCATCAGAACAAAAGCTGAACATTAGGGCTGTGCAAAGCTTTGGGTGCTGATTCAACTTGAAGAAGATGTGGCCTCTTCAGAGGCCCTACTGATTCAACCGATCAGCAGCCTCAGATTCTGGGGGCTCGTGGCAGAACCCGCCCTGCAGCGTAGAGCAGCAGGGATCGCCACACCTCCCTCCCTCTCCCCCGCAGGAGCCGGTGAGTCTAGGGCTTAAAAAAAAAAAAAAAAATAGCCAGGATCTGGAGCCGGACAGGGCTGGGAGAGTGGGCGGAGGACGGGGCCTGTCCGATTTGGAGATTCAGCCAATTCAGCAGCAGTTGACTCTCTGAATCAGATTCAGCCAAATTGATTTGGGACAGTGATTCAAATCGCCGAATTGAATCACTGTCTCCCGAAATCAGCCAAATCAGAAGCAAATACAAGCTGCTTCGCACATGCCTACTGAACATCAAAAAAACCAGCAAAGCAGGGATTGATTTGAATTGATTTTTGCTTCACCACACAGCATCAAAACAGTTTAACAAAAGATTAAATAAGAGTAGGAAAATTAAACATGCAGAGAAGAAAATGAATGAGTCTTTTGTGCATATGGGAAAGCAGAAAGAGAACTACATTTTACAGTAGGCATTCATGTTCTAGATCAACCACCTTGCACAAACTCTAAATCTGTACTTAAAGAGTCATACCTTTTCTACGCTTGGAAAACCAGGCATCAGCTTCAGCTAAGAGTTGCTTTAGTGAGCCATTCCAAGAAGGCACTAGCTGAAGGAACATCCACTAGATAAAATAAATAAATAAATAAAAACCTGCTGTAAGCCTATTTTGGATTTTTTTTATTTTTATTTTTTTTACAATTAAAAAAAAGTTGTACATACTGGAAAACATTATAAAAATGCATTAAGTTGCATTCAGTAAAAAGCTCCAATATTGAATTCTGCCTCCAAGTCTTTATAAATCTATTCTGCACTGGTAAAATGAATCTGTATGTGCTAAAAGAGTATTTTCTTAGTGCAGTTGTTTGTAAGAATCAGTTAAAGGTGGTGTCTAAATGGCAGCACCAGGGAACCAACACATAAATCACCCATAATTTGATTACGAGTTGGTACAACCCCACAAAGAACCAAAATGTTTTAAACAATTTTGGCTAAATCTGTTCCTATTAAAACTTCACAGGTTAAAATGGTCTTATGCCAAGAACAATTTGCCCCTCTGCAGTACCTTCTTCAGAGCGGTATATACATCCATCTCCACCTGCATTACAAACAGGTTAGAAGAGCTGATCAGCTGTTTCATGAGGTTTATGCTGGAAGAGACAAAACTGCACAAATTTATATGTACAAAGCTGAAAAGATAACCATGCAATGATTTTCATGTCATCAGCCAATAAGAATAGAAGGAGAGATTTAAAGAAGTTAATGCTAATTGAGAAAACCTTATCTACACAACCAACTTTGAGGATTGTGATTTCATACCATAAGAAAAAAAAAAAAAAAGCTAACTGTCTGACTCTCAAGGCCATGGCCAGAAATTTCTAATATTTCTGTATTTGTATTGTGCTATTGTAGCACTGAATGTTTATTCCAGAACATACTTGATCAAGCTATTATTCAAATTACCTAAAATCTGAATACCTGAGTTCCTTGAAGAGTTCAACACTCTGGTGAGTCATCAGGTTATTCAAAAGCCATTCAAGGCACCTAGATTAAAAGCAAATTAGGTCAGAATCCAAGATTCCTAGATGTTACAGTTTCTTGTTAAAATGATCAAGTCCTAAAATCAACCGATTTTAAAGCATCTAACTGATTTAGTTCCATATCACTGCCTGGATTAAAGGTTTTAATCTAAACCAGCTGGATAATAATTAGCATGGCTTTGATATGAATGAGCATAAACTTCAGAGGTTTTTAAAAAAAAATAATTTAACACTTTTCAAAAAAGCAAGTTTATGTGAAATAGCTCCTGAATGTTTCAATCTGTTAGTGCTGTGCAGGACTTCTTTAAGGGCACAGGCGAGGCAGCAAGCACAGGGAAGGCTGGACAGTCTGAATTCAGAAACCAAAACAGGGTAAGAGCAGCGCACCACAATCCTGAGTATTGCAATAGTCTGAGCATGAGGATGGAGGGAACCAGGTACTGCCTGGAGCACATTGCTCTTCAAATCCTTCCAGGCCCATAGCTGGTGCACAAATGAAGCATGTAGGAGCATAGTAATCCAAACAAGTTTTAACACAGAACAGCCAATGCCTATGCCATACTGAGAACGTCACATGTCAGTTCTCTTTACCATTTTGCATAAACTCCTGACATTGCATCTGAGTCTCACCTTCCTTATTCATGCACAATCTCAAATGAGTGGCAACGGGAAAACTCAAAACACAAAACTGTCTCTATCTGACCAATAATCTAAATTTAAAAAATAACTCAGGGAATTAACTCAGACCTGAGTTGCAATGAAAAAAATGCTATTTTAAAATAAAGTAGCTACATAAGAGTTTGTTCTTACTTTTTCTTTACAGAGTCTAATCCATATGTTCCTGCAGAATTGTAGTAGCCACACACAGTTTTTGCATTAATTGTTTCCTTCATTGTCTCACCGCATTGCTGGATTAAGCCATCCTGTGAAAGAACACAAATATTCCAAGTTCTTTCCCACATGATAAATGCAAAGACTTTCAAAACTTATTATATGCAAAAGCCAAATAAGAATTAAGCCAGGACTAGTCTGGACTCATGAGTGCAGCAATACACAGAAGGTTCAATTTATCCAAAGTGTGAAATCCAGCACCGTGCTTTAGAAGTATGCTTCCAGGGCACACTGAAGCATAGATGAGAGATATGCAAGTCAGTTCGGATACCAGAAGCAGTCTAAAAAGCAACAGCAGAGGGCTACTACAGACACAGTCGATATTTTAGCTCAGGGAGCCTGTAAATATATTAGGATTTCAACAAGCTATGCTGGAACTTAGCTTGATCTGACAGAAATTTAAGGGAAGTAGGGTAGCAAAAATAAATCCAAACTTGCATCTAGAAATCCTGACCTCAGAATTCTTTAAAATTATTTTAGGGCTCCCCATCATTTGTAAAAAGGTATTATCATTAATAAAACAAACACAACCAAGTCTTTTAGAATAAAGGAAATGATAAAGTCGCAAAGATTAACACCGTAAAGGTGCTACAACACGTACTTTTCTTTGTTTACATCCTCCAATTAATCTCAATATGCCATTTTATGATACAATCAGAACTTAAGTTTGAAACTAAGAAAACTACCTAATATTTCTATAAACACTAAGCCTGCTCTTATGGATGGTTCTGAAAAAGTCTAGAAGAAGCAGTATGCATACCTGAATACTTCTGTTTAGGGGCATGCTCTGCCATTATAGTTTGAGTTTCTATATGTTCCTAAACAAAGCACATAAAATGTAATGCAATTCCTACTCATTTACACTTACCAGCTGCAGCATGCAGGCTGCTGCTAGAAGGGCAACAACTCGACTGGGTTTTATTAAAACATCATCTCTATACAATGAGCCAAAAGCTACCTGTAGAGCTGAAAAAGTAAAACTGTCAAATCTGGAGGGAAAAACAGAACCTCATATTTAATACCTTAGAGTACACAGTATGTTGAAATGCTACCTATCCCTTTCAATTCATGTGTTTGCTACAAATTTAGTCCTGTAAACTTGGGTTCAAAAGCTAGAGTTAAAGGAAACGAATGACCCTGAAAAACAACTAAGTGCCAACTAAAAAAACTGCATGTACCCCATGCCCACAAATGAGCCAGTCTCTTCCAACTGGACTGGTAGAACTATTTTTAACATGAGCATTGCTCTTGCAGCACTGTATTTAACTACAGACCTGGCACTCAGGAGACAGAAATGATATATTTTGGATTCCCAAGATTTTGAGAACTTTGACTGGTTCCTTTTCTTATGATTTTGCTTCTTATTTAAAAGTTACCCGTTAAGGGCAACGAAACAGAGCTAAAGAGGGTATGCCTATGCCCTCCAAATTTATATCCCTGCATGCAACTGCTCTGAAGAGCTACATATGGCTCCAGAGATAGGAGGCAGCCTATTTTTTTTATTTGACTTCTTGAGTCAGATTCTAGGTCTACAGCTCAACTCTTATTATCTGAGGATAAAGCATGTAGAAAACATGAGTTAATGTATTTATTTTTGCTGCTGGTTTGCCAAATCTTCTTTTCACTCCCCCAACAATACATTCTACCTATCAGCAATAACAGACATGTTGGAAATGTCACTATATTTGCTCACTTTGCATTAATTTGCTGTTAGCAAACTTACAATTTTCAAAAGAAAAAAAGTCCCTTGCTTACCTTCTATATCAATATTTTGGTCAGGGATCTCCAGTTCTATGGTTTTCATGCTAGACTCCCGCCAAGAGCCACTGAACATACTGGAAAAGTAGCCTGACTGTAGAAGAGTAAACAATTTCATTCAAATAATGAATTCGGAAAAGCAACAAAACTGTTACTATTAATGATTTTACTTATGGAATTAAGTGCATTATGGGGTCAGTAATTTACTAACTGTGAAGATATTAAAATATCATTTCTTGTCAAGAAGGACTAACAGTATTTCTTCTATTTCTGTGGAAAGTTTTATAAACTTTGACCTTATGCTGAAATATGGTTACCCAAATACATATTTTAATAATTATTTTCCCCAAACAATTCAGTTTTAAATAGGCAGAAAACCTACAATAAACATTTTCCATTACAAACCATGATTTCTATAGCATGTAATGACACCCAAAGGTTAGGTCTTTAATAATATTTGTTTACAAGAGATCCTGCAGGCACTGGTTTTCTTAAACCAATTTAGGGAGAAAAAGCATGCAAGACATACAGATTGTGGTCTCATACGAAGGACACATATGTCTCTAAATACGTGTAGGTCAGTTCATACATACGCGCACACACCCACCATTTATACAAGTATACCTTTTTAAATAAAGTGTAAGGCATATAAAACTAGAATTTGATAGGTTTCCATCCAAATGAAGTGAAAAATAGTGCTCTACTAGGATTCATGATTTTCCATTCTCAGTAGAAGGTGTGCCAGTGAGATGCTATCATTCAATGAAGTTTACCTGAGAGATTAAAAAAATAAAGTCTATTTGTACAGTAGCATACCTCCTGCATTCTTAACTCAATATTTCCACAGGTGGCAGCAAATTATACCCAAGGTTATCAAAAACCAGAAGTTCACTCAACTTACTCCTATTCTTCCATCACACCTCCTAGGATCTGGTTAGGTTGATCCATCACAGGAAGGTTAGTACACAGATGAGCTACAGCTGGCTCATGCCTACTGTTCACGCAGCATTTTATGTATCAATAAGCAGCAAACAACTTTATCTACATCAGTCAGATCTGCCATTCATATGTACAATAGCATCTCAGTGCCATCTAGTGGGGAAAGGACAGAAACTCAGAACTAGCTAGGAAAGCTAAATGAGATGAGCAATCGCTAGGACATAAGCACTCCATTCAGTATGGCAAGGAAGGAGCAGTAACTTCAGCAAGAATAAGTTATGGATATCATTTAAGATAAGGAAAAACAAATATCAATCCACCTGGTGTCCAGTTTAAAACAGTCTTCCATCAGTTTATAACCATGAGACTGTCTTCCGATGGGTTGCCCTGGTGAACAGATGTTCTCCCAATTCCTGATGCACACCCCTTATGTACTTATAGGCTGCCACCAAGTCCCTCCTGAGCCTTCTCTTCTCCAGGCTGAAGAGTCCCATGCCTCTCAGCCTCTCCTCATAAGGCTTGCTCTCTTAACCTCTAACAGTCCAGAGGAGAGCGATGTGCATGAATAGAAGTCAAGAGACTTCTGAGGAGAGGCTGAGAGGCATGGGACCCTTCAGCCTGGAGAAGAGAAGGCTCAGGAGGGACTTGGTGGCAGCCTATAAGTACATAAGGGGTGAGCATCAGGAACTGGAAGACACCTTTTCACCAGGGCACCCCAAGGGAAGATGAGGTCTAATGGTCACAAACTGCTGGAAGGCGGTTTAGACTGGACATTAGGAAAAACTTATTTACCATCCCAGTCTCCAGAGTCTGGAATAGACTCCCCCCAGAAGTGGTGCAAGCACCTACCCTGGACACCTTTAAAAAAATGTTTGGATGCTTATCTTGCTGAGGTCATCTGGCCCCTTGCTGACTCCCTGCCCAATGATCTCACAAGGTCCCTTCCAACCCTAATGTCTAAGAAATCTAGGATTAAGGTCAAATGCAAAGAGAGAGTGATATAGTACGTAAACTACTCTGGAGATTTATCTTGAACAAAATAATTTCTCCTTTCAAGAAATTAAGAGAAAGTTAGTGTGGTACATATTTTTATTATTTCAAGCACAGTATCTTGGAATTGAAGCTGATAATTTCAATGCATGATTAATAATTAATCATTGTGCATGATTAATAATGAATTACCTTCACATACATGGAACACAGTAAACTTTTAAGTAAGAATTCTGCAAACTTATTATAGGATGGTGATAACGCTCTGAGGGAAAAATGAAGCGTCACAAGTGGACTGCAGAGCCAAGGTCTAACTCCCTGTCTGAGCTTGAACTACAGAACTCTTCTTCCTTCTTGGAACACAACCAGTGCCACCTCAGAAAAAAACAAGTCATCTTTTCTTTCCGCTAATTTTATAAAGGGTCTGGAAAAAAAAGATTAGATTAATTTTGGAACAGAAAGTTGGAGTTGTTGTGGATTTATTCTTTCTGCTAGCTGCTGGCCATGAATTACAGACATCCTCCTTCTTCAAAACAGTTTATGCCATAGCAAACAGCTCTGACACTTACGTTGCTTCCAATTTATTTGAAAATGCTATTCCAAAAAGTAATTGTTAGAGATCTGAACAGTTCTCTCTCTTAGGCAATGCAAGGAAGATCATGCCTTATAATTAGAGAAGGATGTAAAAATATGCATAGCAAATTAAAGTCTGCTTTTATTAGAAATGAAATCTAGCAAGAACATGAAGAACCATCACTGCATAGCTTTTCTCCTAATATGGATTAGCATACTTATGCTGGGTGAACATGTTCTATTTTTCAGTTCCCATCAAAAAACACTTTAAGTCACTAGGATCTAGAAGCCTGGCAGAATTCTACTTGGTTACTTCCCAAGTTTCTTAAGACAATTTCCTTAGCATAAATATTCTCTGGGCTACAAAGAGAGACTGATGTTTTAACTCGGTGGTTAAAGTATTTGTGTGGCACGTGGGAGAATGCTCCGAGTCACACAGAGCAGGGATAATATGAATTCCAGATTTCACATATAACTATGGGCTACTGTCTCTTTCAAAATAACCAAGAACGGTCTTACATTTGTCCCAAGGTGAAATAGGAAAAATACTTCCAAAACCTAGGAAATAAGCGTGAAACCATGTGCACATGGTTTTGTAGGGAGTCTGTCCAATTCTCCAACTGCACAAAATAGGAGTCCACTTTTCCCAAATAATGCTTTATTTTTGACAGAGCTGTGATCTAAAAACTCTTTAACAGCATGGCATAACGCAAGACAATCAGCCAAACCTGCCTGCCCCTCCTTTTGTGTGCATTTTGAAACTATATGATGATTAAAGTGGTGTTTCCTGTGATCATGACACGTGACACCACAGCCTAACTCTACCGAAATTTCTCTCTTAGATGTTATAAACAACGAGAGAATAAAATTGGAAGTTGGAATGTTCTGACCTCACTCATTTGAAAGAACTTTCTTGACAGCCGTTTTCACTGCACCCCCAAAAAAATCATTTTCTTAACGTTTATAGGGTTTCATCAACAGCAAAGCAATTTTTTTTCTATGCTGGAAATTGCAACTGTAAAACCAAGAAATCAGCAAGGGAAATTTCAGGGAAAGCACCTGAAATTATTTCTCTCTCTCTAAAAAACAAGTAGATTTCAAGGTAACTTTCATTTTGAGGGTACTATGACTGAACTACAAGTACAATTTTCAGTGTTGAGTAAAAGTAAAATAAAATAAAGTTTCTCCCATTGTGCTGTAACAACTGCCCCAAGCCTTTGCATGAATATTGCCTCTACATTAAAATGCCTGTTGAAATGCACCTTATTTTCCTCATTCTTCCATGCACCCGTTTTATGCTATATGCATCAGTTTCTGACATGAAAGTAAAATTTTAAAAAGTAGGGGGAAAAAGGAAAAATATTTAATTTTTAACTAGGTGTTATTACTTAAAACTTGCAACTTTGGTCGTTTTTAATATTGAACTCTCTCAACTTCAAATCTGGAAAATCCAGAACATATACAAAGTTCACACAAATAGCTTTTTACCACACAAAGGGCATTTATTCTGATTTAAGAAAAGCACATCTAGTACCCTCTAAGGTATTTTGCAGGGACAGGACTTGCTATACCAAACTGTCAGTTGAAACATGGTCACACCATCATAAAGTTGAAGTTTTTGATGTACTAAGTTTAGGAAACTGCATTCAATATAATCACAGCAAGTGAGCAGTCAGCTTTGCAGGGGGGAGATACTTGGTGCCTGCTGGTTCTAAATCGAAGCAGTAGTGAGCCGGCATTTGGCCTAGACTTCATGTGAGACCGAAGGAATGGACACCTTCAGACTCTGGATTTAGGTCCTTCAACTTAATGGAGTCCACATTTCAGAACTAAGTCAAACCCCATCTATACCTGCAGCTTAACACAAGACATCCAATACCACGAGAGGAAGCTTGCTCAATGCATCCACCTCCCTAAGTATCTGTCACTGCACCTAAGTCACTGACGCACATGACACGCACTTAAATTTACTGGCCTCCATATTTACTTGTAAGCTCTTTAAGCATGACTTAAAACCTGCAGATTCAAAGTAGAAGCAGTGATGAGACACAAATCCTCTACTTTACACCAAAAAACTAAGACAAAAACAGATTTTTAATGTGAATGCAGTTCCTTCCTTTTTTTTTAAATCAGTCATCTTGGCTAAGAATGGTACAGAAAGGAACGATGTGGAGAGATGAGTTTCCAAAGCACAGCAGTGCTTACAAACCTTGCCCTTTATAAGGCAGCTCTCATACATGCAGCTGTCATGTCCAGCTGTGAAAACTTACTAACTTCCTGCAAGTTCATTCAATTTCAACATGTTTGCCAAACCTCCATTAGAAAAGTTACAGAAAGTTTTGATAAAGATGAGCAAGCAACTTGTTTTACAGCTCTCCTACTATTACTGCTGATACCTGGATAGAGCGCTGGGCCAGTTATTAGCAGTTTTAGGGGCCTCAGGCTAGTGAAGATGGGAGACAAAGGAAGTTACCGTGTCATTCATTTTTCAAGTGCTCTCTGTCACCCAATAAAACCATGATCATGGGAAGCTGTCACCCATTAGTGTAGCAAGCACGTTCTGAACACATCCAAAGGACAGGACAGTGAAATGTCTTCTCAAAAGAGCAAGACTCTATGTTCAAAAACATAACATGTGGCCTGAAGGAAATAATTACAAAAGGCAAGCATGGAAAGCCTGTTTTCATAGGTGAAGCAAGACCTCCGTTCTGTATCAACTACATTTTTTGATACTTCACTGATTATAATGATTATATGCACTGACACTGCCTGGAAGGAAGACTTCTGACCAGGTCTGTATTAGAAATCTCCAGAACGTGGTTGCATTTACCACGACGTGAAATCCTACGGTGAGGCCAAGAGAAGAAAAGATGACTTACCTGACACAAGTATATCTTGTGCAAGTTCCACTCCTCTCCCAGAGCACAGATCTTAATATCGCTATTTTCACCGTTCAAGAACAGAGTCTGATAAATATACTTGGATGTGCTTTTGAGTTTTTTCCTGCATCAAAAATACAAAACAAAGGGACGAGCCCACCGTGAAGTTTTACCATGGGGGCAAATATTACATTTTTGTCCAGCAGGCATTATTTCCATCACCAGCCTAGCAGCTTGCTACCAAAACATGCCTGCCCTGTCCAGTTTACCCCAGACAGAGTACTCCAGTGAAGCATGTAGGCCCCCACAAAAGGCTGCACAAACTGACTCATGTCAATAATGGTCACTACTCAGAAAAGCCTGCAGCTAAGCTTCTGGCATCTCATTTGAGCTATTACAAACTCTGTGCCTTGAAGGGGCTCTTGGAAATGGTGGAGACCTGGTCAGTTCAGGGGCTGGCTGCTGGATGCAGGGAAACTGACTGCGCCCAGACGGCAGGGCTGACCAGGCCTGGAAAGAGGACAGCAGAGCTGAGGCCACGACAGCAGCTTAAGCACCTCACTGATATGGACAGACATCGTTGTCCGTTATTGATCTTGGTCACCTCGCTGCTACCGACCGACATCGCTGACAGACATATTGATCCGATCTCAGATCTACCCCAAGAACCGTGTCTGCCCGTGTCCATAGACCAACACAGCTACAACCTGCTGCTTGTACTGGATACGGGGACGACGGTGCTGGCTGGCAGCGAGCGCCCAGCTCTGGGGTACCCGGCACACAGACCCCGCGGGGACTGGAGCAGAGACCCCGCAGGCTGGCAGGGCACCCCCTCGGGCTCACATGACCTCCCTGTTTACTTCCTCCCTGCCCTCGGCTCGGCTTCCTACAGCCCCATGGTAACCGGGCAGCTCCCAGGAGAGGCAGCAGTGACGAGCCCGGGCCCCCCGTCCTGCCCCGCAGCCCGCACCTCCGCGGGGTGTCGAGCAGCCC